GGGGGACTTCAACGCTCACCACGAATCGTGGTTAAGTTCCTCCAAGACGGACCATGCGGGGAGATCAGCCCACGCATTCGCTCTCACGCATGACTTGACTCAAATGGTCGATCAGCCCACCAGGATCCCAGACATAGTCGGTCAAACTCCTTCCTTACTGGACCTTCTGCTTACGAGCCATCCCGTCGGTTATCAGGTTGATGTTCGTGCCCCACTGGGCAATTCCGACCACTGCTTGATATCCACCAAAGTGCCGCGAATCGAGCCCCCTCAACCTCCGAGGACTCGACGACGCGTATGGCACTATGGCTCAGCGGATTGGGACGGCATGCGCGAGTACCTTGCATCCGTTCCTTGGAAGCAGCGCTGCTTTAGTGAGAAGGATCCGACAACGAGCGCCGTTGCTATTACTGAGGAGATCGGTATTGCTATGGAATACTACATTCCGCACTCCGATCTGATCAGTATGGGCAAACACAACCGCTGGTTCAATCGCGATTGTGCTAACGCTGTTGCATCTAAACAGCTGGCATATCGAGCTTGGATCAGGGGTCGTGCTCGGAGATCAGGGGTCGTGCTCGGTTGGATCAGGGGTCGTCCCGATATCGACTCAATAAAAGCAGCCTACAATCAGGCTTCCAAGTCCTGTAAGAAGGCTTACATCAGAGCGGATGCCCAGCGCGTCGCACGTATTGGCCATGAGCTAGTTACGCACCCTACGGGCTCCCGTAGCTACTGGCGCCTCGCCAAGGCCGTGCAAAACAATTTCTGCCAGCCCTCGCTACCACCGCTTCGATGTCCAGATGGAACATTAGCTCACAAGCCGCAGGAGAAAGCCCACCTCTTGGCAAGCCTCTTCGCGGCTAATTCCCAGATCAATGACTGTAATGCACTGCCACCAACGTTACCTTCTAGTGGCTTCACTATGCCTGATATTCATATCAGGCAGCGTGATGTGCGTGCGGAACTACAGTCACTCGATGTCCGGAAAGCTAGTGGTCCTGATGGCATTCCTGCGGTTGTTCTAAAAATGTGTGCAGCGGAGTTGACTCCTGTACTTACGCGCCTATACCAGCTATCTCTTTCTTCGGGTCGTGTACTTGAGGCTTGGAGAGAGGCCATTGTGCAGCCAGTGCCCAAAAAGGGAGATCGGTCAGACCCTGCAAACTACCGCCCTATAGCTATCACCTCTGTGCTGTGTAAAGTCCTGGAAAGGATTATTAACTCCCAACTGATCCGATACCTAGAAGATCACTCCCTTGTAAATGATCGTCAGTATGGCTTTAGACCAAAACGATCAACTTGTGATCTTCTAGCGCACGTCATGCACCTCTGGGGTGAAGCTATCGACAAGCGCGGCGAGTCCTTGGCTGTCAGTCTTGACATTGCTAAGGCATTTGACAGGGTTTGGCACAAGGGACTTCTCTCCAAACTTCCGGCCTACGGTCTGCCCGTTCAACTCTGCACCTGGATAGCCGACTTCCTGCGTGAGCGTAAAATCCGTGTCCTTTCTGACGGATGCTCTTCACAGCTTATGTCAGTCAACTCCGGTGTGCCTCAGGGCTCCGTTTTATCCCCTACACTTTTTCTGCTGCATATCAATGACATGCTTCCACTTGGAAATATCCATTGCTATGCAGACGATAGCACAGTGCATGTGGGATATCACGGGGCTACTACGGTCGGACGGGCGGAAATCCTGGAGAAAAGGGAGAATCTTGTCATTGAGCTCAATCACGTTCTGGATCTCATATCGAAATGGGGTGCTGAAAATCTGGTTGAGTTCAATGCCAAGAAAACTCAGGTTTGCGTATTTACCGCCAAGACCCCTCCATTCCCTTCCCTTCCCTCTCTTCAGGGCACAACCTTGCTTCTACAGAGCAGCATCAACATGCTCGGGATGGAAGTGCGCTGTGATCTGAATCCCAAAAACCACATCGAGTCCTTTATTAAAACAGCATCTCGTAAACTCGGTGTCCTGAATAAGGTGCGGCGTTTTTTCACGCCCGAACAACTGTGCCTGCTATACAAAACGCAGGTCCGGTCATGCGTGGAGTATTGCTCGCACCTTTGGGATGGCTCCGCTAGGTACTTACTCGATGCTTTGGATAGATTGCAGCGCCGCGCAGTACGCATTATTGGCAATGGTGAAGTCACCAAGAACCTAGAAAGCCTGCAACTGCGCCGAGACGTTGCTTCGCTCAGCGTCTTCTACCGTCTCTACCATGGTGAATGCTCTGAAGAACTCTTTTCGCTTATCCCTCCATCTCCCTTCCTCCTCAGGACCACACGTGCTGGTTTGCGTTGCCACCAACTAACTGTGGCAGCGATTCCTTCGCGTACAAAGAAATTTGGCGACTCATTTCTTTGTCGTAATACCAAAAAATGGAATTGTCTCCCGGCCCATGTATTCCCTCCTTCCTATGACATGGGGTCCTTCAAGCGGGGCGTGAAGAAGCACCTTGCAGGTCGGCAAGGTGAGGTTGGCTAGTGCAGTACCTACGTACTGTTTTCACTAGCTGTCCTCACGTTTGGACTACGCCTCCGCTTACCATCAGGTGGAGCGCAGTCATTTGCCCTCCTATACATAATAAAAAAAAAACTCAACATGAATTAAAATATACACTTCAAAATGTTTAATGACAAAACACCATCTTTGAGTGGTTCTCAGTTAAATCATTCCAAATCTAATATGGCAGATAACCCAAGATGGCGGTCTAATTATTTGTTTGTGCCATGATATGTGTATGAATTGAGAGCGTTCGCTTAGAAAAAAACTAAAACGCTAAAATGACTTTATCCTCTAAAAAATGGTCGTTCTTATTTTTATAATAATAAATTAAAACTTATCAACTTAGTTTAGGGGGCGTCCATAAATTACGTGAGGTGTTTTTTAAATTTTCTGTCCGTCCCTCCCCCCCTGGTGAGATGTCGTGAGATTTTATTCAACCCCCTCCCCCATCCCCAATCTCACGTGAGATTTTTCAAAATGCAATTTGATGAGAACTTGCGAGTATTTGTCTTGTTGTAGTATCGAGTATCACTTTTGAAAGTATCGATACCTACTCGGTATCGAAAGTATCGTTCGAACCCTACAAATATGGTGGTTTGACATTCAGTAGATGTATAGCGTCGAAGTATGAATGAAATTATTTTCTTTTGAACGAATTAGTGAATGATCTTAATCGTATACGATTACGCTTAAGATTAAATCTTAAGCATGTACAATCTGGATTAAATGGACCAAAATAGTATTTTTTTTTTATTCAATCAGAAAAAAAATTGCGTGATATTTGCCGAGACCCCCCCTCTCTCCAACGTAAGATTAGATGAGATTTGCCTCGACCCCTTCCCCCCCTTAAACATCTCACGTAATTTATAGACGCCCCCTTACTAATATTATAAACAGGTAAGATTTTTTTTTGCTTTGCAAAGATTCCGAAACCGCGAATGATTTCATAATTAACACCATTAATATCTTACATTAGCCCTGATGATCATAGATAATAGATTATCTCTAAAAATGGATACATATGAAAATGTCGATTGTCGTTGGATGGCGGAGCGGGGGGCTAAGGGAATAAATCGCTAGAGGCTAAGGACAAGTAGGACAACTGTTTAATTTCAAAATCAACCAAATCTCTTACAACGTTATAGCTATTGCAACCGCTATCACAGTGATAGCGATTTGAGAAAATCAGTGCTTTCGCCCATTTGCATCGCTGCGGTACACATAATGTTTGATTGTCCTGTTTTAAGTTTAGATAAGTAGTTTTAACTTAAATGATTAAATTTTATTTCCAAAGTTTCTAATATTGTGTAAAATTCAAATTGTAAAATTTTGTGTATGCATGATGCAAATAAAGAATTTATCTATCTATCTATCTATCTATTTATGGATTTATGTGACATCGCAATCAATGTTGGAACGAATTAAGATTTCAATAAACTAAATAAAAAACTTTAAATTACGCTTACCTTAGACTATTATAATAAACATAAAATTAAATGTATCTAAACCTAAAAGTCATAAAACCATAAAAATCTCGATCGAAGCGTGTAGTACGTTAATATCTTTCAAATGTCAAATAGACAGGGATTGCAATAGGTTTAAAAATTAGAGATTTAGGCATAAGCTCATTAAGAAGTCGGAATGTTACAATGAATTATTGTTTATTGTAATATCAATATTATAGGATGGTCTCGGCAAATGTGAAGGTCTTTGATGACCCTTTTCAAACATGTTTGTTCGTTTCGATGTCTTGCCGATATTGATTAACGCGCACATAACAAGTCCACGAAACTACAATTTTTAATGGTTTTTCTATTCTACTAATTGACATACGATACAATTCCAGCTAAAATAGAACTGGAATTGTATCGTATGTCACTTTGTAGAATAGGAAAACCATTAAAAACTGTAGTTTCGTTCGGTTACGATCCGTTTCTGATTCGATTTAAACAAAAATTATTTAGTAGAATTGGCCCCCTGTTCCCAGTCTTACAATATCTGGACAGCAATTGTTTTGGCTTTTATTATTAATAATAAAAACGATTCACTAAACTCGTAGTTAAATATAATCTAAACAACATTATCATTGAATACATCGTATAAATGCATTTGTTCACAAATATCTTTGTAATCGGGATTCCACCAATGTCTGAAGTTCGTGTAGTTGCTATACGTATCGATGTTTTCGTTCAATATCTTACACAAATCACACACACTAGTCTTCTCTCTCTTAGTGTAGTGATAATGGTTCTTCCAATCGAAAAAGTATTGATACAGTTTGCGGTTTTTAATGAGGTAGTTCACGAGAGCTCCTAGTTTCTTTATATCGAACGCTCGAACGTTTACGTATGAACCAGGTGGTATAAAGCTGAAACAAATATTTATTTTGAGTCATGTGAAAGAAAATTTTGCAGCAGTCGGTCATTTGACGCCTATAAGAAAGATGTAGTATTATTTTTAAGGTTTAATAAATCTGTTATGAATTTTTCTAAAACTTTTATCTTTTGTGATGTATAAATTGGTGTAAAATAGCCCGGAGTAGTCGGAGTAGCGCGGTGGCGTAGTGGATAAGCGTCCCAGCCTGCCATCGTCGTTATAAAGCATACTAGGTCGGTCACGAAAAGGGTGATCAAAACATTGTTATCTCGAGCTACTCCGGTGCTTCGGCATGTTAAGCCGTTGGCCTCGGTTGTATCTGCAGTCCACATTGAGTCTGCGTGGAGGGTCATCACCCATCTATAAAGAAGGCCTGAGCGCCTGCAGTGGGGACGTAAAAGGACTGACTGATTAAGATAATTCTAACTTACCGTCTAAAATTAGCTTCGCCAAGAACAATCGGCACAGTGTACAAACTCAGTGCTTTCGCAACGGTCTCAGTGACGTAATCTTCAACAGTCGATTCTTCGAGAACTAACTGAAAGTAATAATCCCTCTCTGCTATCTTATAGCATTCGCTCAGCTTACCACTGGGACATTTGTTTTTACCACATGTGCCATAAGTATCAATCGTATAATTATATGCCTTCAATTCCTGCCCTAATTCGTGAATGAAATCCTGGTACTTGTGTTTCAATCTACATTTGTTAATAATGCATATGACAGCTCTGTCCTTGTGTTTGAATTTGTTCTTTGGCACAACACTGTGATTCATTTTTTTCACCCAAGTCATATTGACTTTAGGCCCAACCAATTTTTCTTTGGCGTTGTATATGTTAATAAATGGATGGGGGACATCTGAATTGAGTTTGTATGTCCATGTCCAGTCGAAGAAGTTATCAAAAACAGGATTACAAATTGGTTGATTGTCAGCGGCGTCATGAGATCTGAAGACGAACTTTTGATAAGGAGACCTGGTGAAATTGAAGTCGTTTATTCTAAATTTACTGATATCATGTACATCAAAGACGACAGCGTCGAAGTTACTCTGGTCTCCGTTTAATAAACTCTCATTGTATGATATAAAGCAATTGATGTATGGACACTTTTGCTTTATGAATGTACTCTGACCACTCTCGAATTCATTGACAGCTTTGACGTGAAAAGATTTAAATTTCTTGACTTTCGGATGATTCCAGAATAATATGTATTTCATATCCGGAGCGAATCGCACATGTCTTTGACGCAATTGGAGTCCCCTTTCTTTAATTATAAAAGGCACTATTATCATCATTAGTGAGAATAATAACAGTAATATCAACAAACATAATTTGATGAGATTAGCCTTGGACCCGCTCACGAATATCATGTCTTTTATGTAGTAAGTATACATTTCTCTTAATTTCGCACGTTTCATTTCAATTCAATTATTCTTGATTCACTGAAGCTTTGCTCATGTTTGAGTGTTACCTCGAACTGAGCAGAATTACGCCTGATCGCTATTGTGTTAAATGTTATGTCCTGTTTATTTAGGAAATTTTGCATTTTCTTCTAAGGAATGCTTTTATACATTGACATACCAAGTTTTACATTGTTAGCATAGTCTAATATAGTCATAATATCTTACTAGTGTAGTGATTGAATATCTGCCCGCGTCCTTGAACTTTTTTTTTGTCTATCAATGTTAATATAATAATAAGCTGAATAAAAATATTTCATTTGTAAAAATTTATATCATTATAGAATAGTATACATACCGAGTCAGAATTATAGATGGCGCTCACAGCGTTTTTTATATCTAAAAGGTATCGAATAGTTAAGAATGGTAGATTACAATTTTTAAACAATGCAGAATAGTGATATCTGATTTTAAACACCATTTCTAAAATGTCTTTATTCCACAATAGAACAGATATGAAAAAATAATTCAACAATCAATTCATATTGAAATCACATTAGTTACTAAATTTCATACATAATACACATAATGGTTCGTACATAACATCGGTGCGTTTGCTTATTGAAGCGACATCTATATACTCTGAGATTTGGAATGAAAGAAAACTCACGGTATGACGATTTAGAGCACCGTTTTAGTACAAGCATTTCAAAAGCACACCTTCTTGACTGTATTAAGTATATGCGTGACGATTTAAACTTTAATCATTATAAAATATTAATGTAATAGTTACGGGATTGCTATTATGTACCTTATTATTATCAAGTCCCCGATATTTAGGCGATATTGCAAGCGCCATTATCAAGGAGTAACCAAAGCGCTTGCAACAGCTTTGAAACATCCGATACTCGATAAAGCTAAGGCCCACATAGCAATTCCGTAAATAACTATAACTCTAATGCGATAAATATGACTTATTTTATAACCTAATGGTAGTAGATATTACGCTTTTTAAAAGCACACTGCATTTATATAGCAGTTCCCGACATTAATCAAATGTTTAACAATGAAAAGTTACTCTCGACCGAACTAACTTCGGGTATGCTATCGTGCGGCGTAATTTATGCGTTTAATTCGGCAATATAAAGTAGCGAATTAAACCGACGGGCATATGAAAAACTCGTTTCAGTACTACCATTAATTTATGGCTAAAAATATATTTTCACGTACGTTATAATGTACCATGTGTCGCGGCCCTAATGCACGGTGCCTTCGTTCAAATATGATTTATTTTATGATTTCCTAGGGAGTTTGGCTTATGAAAATATTTATGCGTGTACTATTTTACTGTTTGAACTTATTTTAGTTGAAGGCAACTCTGCATCAACAAACAAAGGTAGTAAAACCTTTTCTACTGCTAATTCTTATAAGGTTTTTGAATAATTAGTCACAGGAAATAAACAAAAGCAGTTCAAAATAATTAAATTGGATGAAATATTTTAGTCGTAAAATAGTTCTAGAGTATTAGAGAAATATTTTAGTCGTAAAATAGTTCTAGAGTATTCAAAGTTGTGGTTTTGTATTTGCCGAGCCAATTTTCCGATAGTGAATGATTTTAATATTTTTATTTATTTTTCATAACATTATATAACACTTATACTGATATCTAGTTTAGTTCCCAAAATGTTTACATTCGTTAGTTTATAATTAAAAAGTGTTTGGATTATTTAAAACCACTGATATTAGATAAATATAGCTATTCGTATTGGCTATGTGTATACGGTAAAAAATCATTTGTTTATTACTGTAAACCATATTTACATCTCCTTTCTCTTTTTTTAACTTACTAACATCCGAGATAATGAAGAAGATATTATATCATTAAGCTGCTATTTATCTAATCCTAACTGTTCCTAAAGGTTACAAATATAGATCACGTGAATGTGATCTATATTTGTAACCTTCTGTTTCTTGAGTACTATTAAAATAAATTAGTTAATATTAAAACAACACAATTATCATTAGTACTTAAATATACTTCAATAAATTATATTCTGTTAACGATACCAAAGCGTAGGTAGAAATTTGTATGCTGATTACAAAATTTTCCAGTATATAAGCAAATAGGTTTCCTTCGATAATAACACAACATCTAAAACTCATGTTTAACATAACACATTCCTTAACCTAGCGGAGTAAATGAAGTTGTTTGTAACCGTAACATTTGCGTAAACATTTGGGTTCATTACCGGGGGTATATTTATAAAGTGGATTAACGGCGATGCGGAGCGGCTAAGTCTTGCTTATTTTCTGTTGTTACGCCTCAAATTGTCGACACTCGAGCACAGATTAGCTTCGTTACCCCGCGGAGCGCGTACCTGATTAGTGATGTCTGTCGATCGATTAATTGATCGATAGTTTTCCCATGTATCGTTGTAATGTGTTTGGTAAAAGGACGAAATTTGAAATTACAAGGCTTTTTATATGTTTCATGGGTATTGTTGAAAACATATTTTTGGTTCATGCAGATGCAATGTTTTAAAGTTTTATATTACTATGAGTAGTAATTAGCAGAAGCAAGTTGGAAGTACGTGTTGATATAACATTATTTTATTGTTATTTTGAATATATTCTAGATGTCACATTAAATTTTGTACGTTTCTATATCGGTAGTTAATATCGCTTTTTTCCCGAGTGGACATTTATGTGTCGGGTATGGATAGAAATTAATACAAATATTTAATAATAAATTGAATAACGATAAAATATTTTTAAAATGCAGTATTATCAGCACAAATGTTACACTGCTAATTCACAATAGTTGACTCATAGTCTTTCAAGTATTCAACATCAGACTATTTCACCTCTGCTACTATATCGTCCTATATTTATAGAATTACTCTACTTGGGTTCAGTGTAGACTGATTGCCAAAGGCTGTATACTGCTTCGAAAAAGTGATATAGCTTAACACTTTTTCGAAGCACGGCAATTTCATATAGAAAATATTCTTTCTAATATATATTTTATTATTTATCGACATCGACATATCGAACGCCGTCTCTATGTTTCCAAGTGGTCGCGCGAGGAAGCTGGCGGAATAATGATTTCTTTGAATCCCCACTGTTTGGAGAGCTCACCATTACTGGCTCTCAGATACGTTTGTGCGCTGTACTTAATAGCGATCGCGATGCTCTAATTGTTTTCCTTGCCTTTGGAGTTACGAGACCTTTTATTTGGCGTTTTACAATACGGCGGCTTTCAATTTTTTTGTGTATTTTGTTTAGGAATTTTTAAATATCTGTCTTTACTTTCTTTTGGGTTACGAAAGTACTCATTGGCGACCTGTAAAAGACACTTATCTATTTTTTCCTCATAAAAAGTGTCCCAGTAAAAGCAGTATTTCTCATAGTTTTAAATTAATCTTAATTTCGGATAAACATCAGATTAATTTATAATTGTTAATACTGTATAAAGAATCTAATTTTAAGGAAGCATATAAAACAGAATTTTCGGCAGTGTGTCATAATCACCATTCACTTCAATATCGAATTGGAACATGTGCAACTATATTATGTACTCGAACTATAGTAAAATTAATAACAGTCCCTCCCATCTTTCACTTACTATCGGACGTCATTCAGAAAACGGTTCTCGTTTCAATAATCTTGCGTCAGACGGGACCCTTTGTGGCCGTAAGCTATTGGTCCCCTTTGACGGGTACCGTCAGCACAAAAGTGTCGGCTCAATCAAATCTCGTTGTCGCGTCTCTCGGACAGAAGAAAAAGCGCTTCTCAAACTTGATTGTCACAGTTTCAATTCCATTTGGCGTCACTGGCCGGCCTTCAGTTCTAAGTCCGCAATTGAGTGCCTAGCGGAGCGATTCGCGTTTTTAACCTACTTCCAAAAAGGAGTAAGTTCTCTAGTTATCTTTTATATATTTTTATTTACTTATTGGCACATCAAACAAATAACAGTTACGCATTTAAAAAAAATAATACATATATATCAATAAAAACATGACACAGGACCATAATTCTTAATATTATGTACACATAATTAACCTTAATAAATTGAAATCAGACCAAATTGATATTAGTTAATGCAAAACATAAAACAAAAAGCAAAACAAAGCAAAGGATTTAAATTAGATTATTTTGAATCCTAATCTAATCTATATCTATAATGAGCATTTCGAAAATTCTTGAAAAATTTTATTTTTTATTACACAGCAAGGGCCCATATGAATATAGTAGTAGTTTTGTTTTTATTGTTTGTTTTTAAAGCACTTTGCCACTTGCCAAAATTTAATAAGTATCCTGAAATAGCTTAATTTTGCATTAGTATGATTTTTAAGTGACTTTTGGGGTTACGTGAGACGTGGTCTTTTACTAATATTACGCTATTTGTATATATCTATGTGTATCTTATGAACTATGATGGTTTGATAGATGTATTAAATGTATCGTTTGCATTTTTCATATTACGAAACTTTTTCTGCTTGAGTCCAACTCGCACTTGACCGATTTTATGAATATTTGTATATTTCACCGCAAATTGTGTTCCAATTCATATCAAATATGTATTTGAAAAATTTATTAAGTCATGCAAATGAAAAAAAATCTTCAGGACTTTTGTTATGTTAACAAGTTGTATTGTAACTGGGTCTGTTATCATTTAATAACCTACAGCAAACTTCCGCTCGACTTCAATAGCAATTTCTCGAATAATTAAACCGGTTTAATAGAAGTATTATTCCTTACCATTTTAAGTTTAAAGTCGGCTTTGCTTTTTGAAATAGAAACATCTATTTTCACTGTTTTTTACCGGCTCGCTGTCGCGGGTTCGTTTACCGGGGCTCGATTTCTTAACTCGACGACATAAAAAAAAATAGTTCATCTTTTTCGTTCCTATTAAGCAACTTTTAAAAATAGAAATAATTTAGTTTATATATAGAATAACAACAAAAACTTAACAATTATTCAAGAAATTAATC